ACGTGCACATATATGCTTTTGTCACCTTCAAAGCCCTGACCACTGACTGAGGTGTGACAGTGTGTGTGGGAAAATAAGGTTTCTGTTGTAGGGGTGAGCGGAGTAGGTCAGAGCATTACATTCGGAAGCCTGGTTAGTCAGCCTGTACAGGTGCGCTGTTTTCCGGTAGAGCACAGCATGGGTCTACCGGTGTATGGTAACAGTCAAGACCCGGAAACTATGATACAGTTCTTTGGAAGAACTCAATAAATGTTAAGCTATTTGCAGTCACTTGTAAATTTCCCTGTCAGTGAAGGCCCTATGACATGGTCACAAGGACGTGCCTCCCCCAGGAACACCACACAAGCCCAAACTTAACTCCCAAGAGCACAGTGGTCCATAACGGGGGGCTCCTGCACTTCACAGTGCAAACAGTGCTGCCCCTTAAGGAAGGATGGTTTTCAGCGTAAGCTTAGCTGCGTCGCTGAGCGGAAATCTCTCCTCAAGTCTTCCTAGATTTCTGCCTTAGAAGAATTAGTGGGAGAACATAAAAATATACATCCATATCATGAGCTTCTTCAAAGTTTTCGATTCAGTAGAAAATAGCGAGTATATAATAGTACTTCGGTGAGAGCATAAAGCTCACTGTGCCTTTGTATTGGGGGATCCAGGGGAGGAGGCAAGTACTTTTTCACAGCCTAAATGCACTCGTTCACGGCACTCAAGTGTCCCGAAGGGCCTCAGCATCCCGGCAGCTGTAGCTGACAGTTCCGAAACACGTACAAGGTAAGGAGAATGCCACAAGTATTACAAAACAGGGCAAGGATACCTAGGAGCTCTACAACCCATCAAACAAGCAGGGCAAACAAACGGCATCTGGTGCGTGACGCGCGGTACACAACACACAATTTGCACGGTTACGTTTCAGAGATCAGGATTGCGAACGTAAACTGCAGAATAAATCTCAAGGGCGGCACTTGGCTTTACTGCGTCACCTCTGGCAACGCCTGAAGTCCACTGCGCCATGAGCGCTGCCTTTTTTGTCGTGACAAAACCCGATCCCAGTGAGCCGACTTAGAGCCGGCGGGCCCACGGCCTGCAACCCACAGGACTATGGCAGAGACTAAAATGAAAATGCTCCAGCAACACAGGCTTAGCTACCGCTGTATACTCTGCCTTCACGTCGCCTGCATTATATAAATGTTGCTCTCGGAAAATAAAGCACACGGCAATATACAAATGGCATCAGTGGCCGAAAAGATTCCACGATCAAGCCTGAAAGCAAATGGAAGTTAACGAAAGTAGTCTTTTAGGAGAGGTAGCCATATTAGATTCGGCATTCAAAAAATAAGAGTGCACTCAAAGGGTCAACATACGTTACAGTCTCCTGTAGACCCACCATGGTTTTGTTTTTCTGATGCTTTTTTTGCCAAATGTACACACCCAGACGCACACACACACACACACACACATATATATATACATCTATCTTTTTTTCCTAATTCCCCTTTGTTGCCAAAACTTTGCCATACTGAGAACAAAGGCCAACTTTCCTTTCATCACCTCTTGGCTGTCCCATGTCTACAGCTGTTGCCTTCAGTCTGTTCAGTACCTGCACAGCAGCTAAATAGGCAGTGGAAATTAAAACTGCTTCCATTTCATACGTTCCTCCAAAAGACAGCTTCCAAATTGTAAGGCATTACCTTGTTCTGATGCGAGTTACAACTCTCTTGGATTTCTACCTGATACAAACTGCAGAGCGCTCTTCAGTCTCATGCTACAAAGGCAGCTTTCACCCAACCAATAAAGACCAAAGCCAAAATTGAAACACAAATTCACACGCTTCTACCAGTCCCTTGTTCCTGTGCCCCTTTCCAACAACACTTATCACTTTAATTTCGAAAGTCATGCACCAACGCTATAAAACAGAAACCCAAACTACTAAGAAGTCTCTTGCTCATGACTTTGGGATATTGTATTAGTATAAAAGAGCATTCAGTCATCTTAAATAAATATATTCTATTTCTGAAATCACAGCACATTCAAGGGGTAGTCACTGCCACAAGCAGAGCACTAAGTAATCTCCATAGATGTTTTCAGAATCACAGAATGATAGAATCGTTTAGGTTGATCTTTAGACCTTTAAGAGCATCAAGTTCTGATTGAATTGGTCTAATAATCTGGAAAACAACCTACGGTGGGGATAAGAATCTGCATCTCAAACGTTCTGCAGAACATTCTTCCCATAGTTGGATACAGTACTAGAACAATAAAGAAGACATTACAGTAATTTTCTCCCAGCTGCTTAGATTTGTAGCTTCGGCTACAAGAATGTGGTTTGTATACCTCAAAACTACATATGAAATATCGAAGATCACTAAATAAATAAAAGGCAAGGAACACTGGGACAGTACTGCATTTTACACTTGAGACAAGATTCCCCCCTCCCATGGACAAGTCACAGAGGACGACTATGGAAAATGCTTTTCTTTTTTTTTAAAAGAAAGATTTATACACAGGTTCAGATCCAGAAAATAATGTGAAATGCATAAATATCGATAGCTTTAGCTAAGTTAAAATGGGTTCAGTAAAGTATGATACAACATATTCAGAATAAACAAAGCAGAAAAGCATCATATTTTGGTTTGCTTGAGATATACATAAGGTGCAACAATTTCTTCTCTATAGGCATTTGTGGACAATGTGTTAACGGGTAACAGTGTTTGCTGGTATACTGAAGTACACACAATAGCAATAAGATTTTTCCAAAATGAAAGCAGCTGAAATTAATAAAAATTAAAACAAAACAAACAAGGAAAAAACCCAACCCCAATACAGTAAGATATTGGTCTTAAATTTTTGTTGTGCTAACAGACTTTGTTACCTGAAAATACTGATACCCCTTCTAGTAGATTCAGGGAGAATTCTAGCTACTGAAATCAAGACATCACTCAGAGAACCAACAAAGGCAAATGCCTAGTGAACTATAAAGCTTTGCAGGATTTCTGCTACTCTCAGTGCCTAATCGCTTAAAAATTAAGCATATCTACAAAAAGGTTTATAAGTATCTGAAAACAGTCATATCCAGTAAACTGACCCAACCCTACCCCCTCTCTAAGGGAAAGTCAAGGAAAAGCAGATCAAGTAAGATATTAATTCATATAGAAAAAAGTAATTTTCTGTTTCTTTTAAAAAAGGTACCATTAATATACAGAAATATCTTCAGGAACAATATTGAAATTTAAATCGAGGAAGGATGGGGTGCTTTGACAAAAATATATCTACTCTAAAGGTTTCTAGAGAAATAAGTTAGTACCATTGTCAACGTGAACGGCCTGCACTGTAACATATTTGGATTTCAGCTAATTATAAAGTGGTCCAAAACTCCAATAGCCACCTTGCTGTGACCCAACAGTTTTAAGTCTTTTAAAGTTTTTTCTGTCTCTTTAAAATAATTTATAAAACTTTAATAAAATCTTATTAAAAACACCGCCATAGGCTGCAATGACGTTCTAGGGGGCTCTCGGTTGTATCTCCACCTGAATTTTTAAAAAGCCTTTTCACTGTCTCACTGGCTCATAAATTTTGTTGTTCTTTTGTTGCTGTTCCCTTCTTCCAACACATGCATCCTCAGTGGTGCTGCTTCAGCGACACTTTCCCAGCTACCTGCCCTTCGTCAGACCTTCAGTCCTTCGTTACAACTCGTGTGGTATGTTGTATGTTGTTTCCTGACCCTGAACCAAAGACTTTCACTTAACTACAACAACGAAAGGCTAAAATTAGCAAGCATTAATAGACTTACTGTCCATATGGCTATTACATCAAATTAGTTACAAAATAACCCCAAAACACATTATCAATTCATCAAGTATAAATAAGAATGCCTGATAGAATGATGTAAACTCGCATCATTTAAAGACTTAATTCAAAGAACTTCAAACTCAATCTAATACTATCAAAAGTTCAGCCGGTATGACGAAGACTAATAGAAAATTATTGCTGGAGTCCAATTTGGTAAATTGTTGTGCTACAATGCAAAAAGTAGGGAAACATCTTGTGCTATAGAAGAAGTACCCTGTTGAATTTGTAGCTTTAGATCAATTACTAATGATCGTTTTGCATCTATTGGTAGGAATCAATGCTTGGTTATACGATAGTGTAAGTCAAGATAGCAAAGGTCACAGGCCAAGTGATACAATTGGCCTGCTTTTGGGATGCATTTGAGAGCAAAGCAAAAAAAATTCAACACAAGCAAAGACAGAAACTGGCAGATGGACCTGTCTGGTAGTCTGAATTCAGTCAAACGCTATGCTTCGGTTGTAGCTTATCTGTATACAATCTGCCACTTTACCAACACAAAACTGTAATTGGCCCTTTACGCAAACTCTGAAGCCGATCTGGACTGTGCATAGTAACCACAACAATGCCAGTGTCTGTAAGATGTAGAAGGTGTGTGTATTGGCGTACATGTATATTGAAAAGCCATGGTTTTAGGTTTTTTCAGAACGGTGAAATAATACTAAGGTCACTTTTGAATAAACACATTTGCAGTACTTTTTGTTTACAGGAAAGCTTCACCAAGTCGCTCGGATATCTATGCAAAAATAAAGGAACCCTCCAAGGCATGAAAGACAAGTCAATTATCTGCAGTATTTTCTTTTCCATACACCACTCCTTTTTCTAATGCACATCATCCTGGTTATTGAAAGCTAAATTAAAAAGAAACAAACCCAAACATAAGCCTGTCAGAATTTTTCCCAGTAAACTCTACCACTCCGGTGGCAAATATAAAAGTGCAGAACATCTGGACCACATGGCTGCCCAAACACCGCTAACAATGGTACATCTGTCCAGGCTGCCTTGAGTTCTCTGGAACAGGTTTTAAATTCATTCTACAATATAAACGTAGGCATAACCTATTAATATAAACCATCTTAGAACTTAAATCTTCATGTACAAAAATGACTAAGAATATCTAATAATAACTAGTGCAGTGCGTCAGTGTTTTTGTTGTTGTTTTTTTTGTCTTTTTTTTTTATTTTCATTTAGAATAACTAGGTATTATACGAAACTAGTTGCTGTACTCTCTGGTTGGTAAAAGAGATGCTGTGTGAGCTAACAGTAAAGGCAGCCTTTTTCACACCAACCACCTATTTACTGTTTAAAAGCCTTCAATAGAAAGCAAGCTCGAGATCATTCCATTTCTGTTCATTTATAAACATTTAATATCACCCGCCTACATACTGGGTTCCGATTTGAGGACCTGGCCCAAGTTGCTAACGTCTGGCTTCCAGTGAATTCTGGGCCACTCAGAGCAATAAGCACTTGCTTGCAGTCTATAGTTTCCATCGTATGGACTGACTAGCTTCCCTTGGTAAAGACAAGGCTAGGATATTAGGTAAAGCACAATGTTTTACAATAAAGTGGAGCTTCACTGGTCAGCGCAGGAAATAAGCACTGGAGCCTGAGACATTTCATTTGGCTGTCCGTCATGTGGGAGAGGCGTGGCCCTCTGACTTCTGCAAAAGAAGAAAAGAAAAGCCACCCATCATTATCTGGAGCACGGGAGGTGTTTTTATCAGACTAGAAAGGATGGAAAGTGGCACATGATGTGGTTTAACATCTGACGTTACACCACCCTCCCTGCTGCTAAGGATGTCCACGTATTGCTGTTTTTAGAGGTATTCCTGCAACGGTAACACAATACCCTGAGGACAACCTCCAACACAACGCAAAGCCAGGCAAAACCAAAACGTGAGGTGTTTGACTACAAAAATCAAAATGCATGTCAGAAGAGTAAGTTAAGAGTGCACAAGTCTTACTCATCCCGTAAGGAAGTGGCTTTAGCCCTCAGAAGCAGAGAGTACATGCCATGCGGCAAAAGAAGGTAAATGCAGAGGCATGTATCACGTTAATGCGAGTCAATAGCCAGCTTTTAAGCAATTTGGAAATATACTCATCAGCAGAGCTGCACACTGGGATTACTCCCAAGTTTCATGACTTAACACTTCATCAGCCCAGCACAACATCTCCTTCATTACTACAGCAGTGTTAATTTACAAATGATACCCTGGCACAGAGCATCATAAAAATAAACTGTGTAAGAACGATGTGCTGGAAATCAATCATTGCAGCAGATGGACTTGGGAGAGCTCCTTTGCAGTTTGTCTTTTAAAATACATACACAAAGTACGTCACCGCCTGTTATCTAATCTCCCAAGTCAGGTTCTATTTTTGTTACAGTATGTGTCATTTGCAGCAATGAAAACCTGGGGCCCACTTCTTATTTACACAGGGGCTGCTTTAGCTCACTCTGACATGGGTGAGACCCCAGCAGAAACACAGGGACCAATGCGCTTTGCACGAACGGGGTGTAACCAATTGGCCTTGGCACAAAATGCAGCTCAGGCTCACAGCGCTTAACCGGGGCACGCACAAGGTAAATAAAGTGAAACGGAAGCTTTCAAATGAAAACCACGCTGCTATTTCCAGACAAGCTCTAATTACAGTTAAAAAGGAGCTTGGCTTCCATGGCCCCAAGGCTCTGTGAAATTATTTAATAATTGAAGTCAGGCACTGAGGAAACCATCAAGCAAACCTCTAATGCTGTTCTTCTCATTTCCGGTTACTTGCAAATAAAGAAGTGGGTCGCAAAATAAAACAAGCAGTCAACAAAGAAGAACATAGAGAAGCATCTTTAGGTTCCCCTTTTGACTTTCATTTGCCAAGTCTGCAAGAGAGGTGGCCGAGTTCCTATGGGTAAAGAGTCCTCCCTGTGTTGCCATTTCCTCCCCTCACCCTCCTGTGGTGATTATAAGCTGGAATCTGTGACGGTTGCTGGGCATTCACAGGGTTGGTGTTTCCAGGCCTCGTGGACGGTGCTGCATTGCTCTAGCTGCATCATGAGATGACAAAAGGTGGGAGTAAGAAAGAAAGACTCCAACCAGAAGGCTATGTAAAACATCAGCTCACTTCGACAGGAAAAAGAGGAGGACAAGAACTTTTAGTGGAACAAAGAAGGTAAAACCACAGCGAAGCAATTCCTGTTGCTCTTGTGCAATTCTGGTCAGTATTAATGGAAATTAATGAAACCACAAAGGCGTGAGTGAGAGCAGAGCTTAGCACAGCACTTTCCCAAGTATCACTTCGTGGCTTCTGACCACAGAAGATAACAGAAGGAAAAAGAAACCAACAAAAAAAGAGTTCAGCATTTTGCTGTCTTGACAGCAGACACTTGCCTTGCAAACCAGGAAGCCAGGCCAGGCTGACTGCAGCATGAAAACACTCTCTCTCAAACCAGTATTTGTTAAGCAAGACAACAGCTTCTGCAGAGAAGAGCTAGCAGGCTGGACTCAGCTGAATTTTTTTCTTGTGAGCCTCCTGAGCTTCTAGAAAGTCTTTTGATGTTTGACGTGCAGCCTGAACACACAGGACTGAGTTGGTCAATGGGAGCCACAAGATCAACAGTAAACTGAGTAAACCAGTAAACTGTTTACTGAGTAAATAGTAAACCATTTGTGAATGGTTTCATCAACCACTGCCTTGTGGAGTGTTTTAGGCAGTCAAGCAATCTGTCAAATGCGATCTGCAGAGGCTGACACGGTTTCAAACTGTCCCAGCATTTCTTTCCTCACCGACTTTCCACTGCAGTAATACATGAGGTTTCACCTTCAGTAAGCTGCAGCATTAAACGACAGCACTGGAATAATTAGAAACCAACGCTGTCACTGGCTTCCTCCCATCACAGGTCTAGCATGCAGGATCTGACCATGCTGAACTGATCCAACAGCCTTAAGTAAACTGCACGTTCTCCACCTTATCGGTGTGGATGGTCTGCTCGATAACTCAGAGGACCCACGCAGACTGGCATGTCTTTCCATCACCCAGAGTTGTTCTGCCCCATGCCATTCTGCAGACACTTTGCCTCCTACACGGCAAAGCGCAAGAGTAAAAATAACAAGTCAGCTTCCATCACCCATGTTCAGCATAAAAACTTCAGCTCAAGTTGTATGAAATTCTCTCCATGGTCTTAGGCCACGGAAAAATGCCAATCAGCATGCAACAGCTATTTAAACTTGCTATTATCTGATAAATGGCACCTAAAAATTAGAAACCTTCGATCATTAGGATCTCAAGGAGCACATGAACCTCCTTGTATACAAAAAATGGTAGCTAAGCTTACCAGGGAGGATCATTTTACTGTCTACTCAATTAGATTACACTTTCAGTTAGGTCAAGACATAACACTACTCAGCAAGTGGTATAAAACAGACATTCGCAGAAAGCTGTGGAAGAGGAAACACAGGCCAAGTTAGACAGTCTGCAATTCACATGCTTTCTGAACAAAGTGGCAGCCACATACTATTCGCTTAGACAACAAGGGGAAAACAATACCTGTGTACATTTTCCATGGCTGCTACTTCTGCCAGAGCAGCTAAGCTAAAAAATGCAGATACCGCTGGCATATCTGATGTAATACTATGATTTTCTTCTGTCTCTGCATTTCTGGAGCATTCACTGTTGCAATCTGTTTCTGCACTTGATGTTTTTTGAAGAGTACTTTGTGGCAGCTCTTTTGGCTTCTCTTCTGCAATAAAAGAAAGTTAAGCTTGCAAATCTAGCCCTTAAATTCCCAGCAGCCCACTGATATACTGACTAGTCATGGTGGTAACAGAATCTTCACCTTCAGAACTTTAATTTTCCAAGTATGATTGGATTCATGCTGCAAGCTCTTCTGACCTAAGCTATTGGCCAAAGCACAGCAGGAAGATTTATGAAGCAGTTTACTGATTTTGCATTCAACTGAGATTGATCTTCTAGGTCAAGCAAGGGAGCTTTTGTGTACGTTTGAGATACAGAAGTCCTGAAAGATTACCTGAACTGCAGATGACTCCTGCAAGGACTGTGGCATTGACTGTCATACTACGGAATTTATTTTTACATTCTGTAACTAGGTGCAGTGTAGTTTCTTTGCTGGACTGGAAATGAATTATGAAAGGTAACTGTTTCCCCACTTCTCTTTATATCAGCTCTCAGTTCTTAGAGAGAGATATCCACGGAGAGAAGACAGATTTGGATGTTCAAACAAAAAAATTTGGACATTATGGACTCGGTGATTTCCCAGTTGATTGACACCTGTGTTTTAAATAATGCCCTTTCTAAGCAGGTATGAAAACAAGCTAACTGAAAAATATTTCCCTGATAGACTGCTTTTATTTCCAAACCTTCTCCAACCATTCAGCTTTAACAAAATTTAAACTCCCATTTCCTTACCCAGTGTCCCTCCTGCTGGCGACACTCGACCATCTGCTGTTCGGACAAGATGTGTGATCTTAGTTTTCCTTGCTTTCCTTTTCTGGCTGCCAACTAAAGGTTCATGCATCATTGCTGGCTCTGGAGTGTTTAGGGCAGATACAGAAATTTTATTCTTCCAGATAGACTCACTGGAATTTCTGTCTTCTGAGAGTATGGCTGAAAGAAAATAATAATGCAGTTTTACATGTAGAATAATTCAGCTACTAGCTGTGCTCATTTACCATTTTGCCTCTACCTGCACGAGCCTTTCCCTAACAGGTACTCAGAGCATAACCCATGGCAAGATACAATCTGAATGCTGCAGATGTTTGTGGGGGAATAGTAGTATCAGCTTTTAAAGATATGCCAGAAGGTTTAAGCTTTTAATACTTGCAGAGAAAAGAGATGGGCAGTAGCACTTCTATGGGAGCTGGGTATCAAATAGTCTTGTATAAAACATTCTGCAATAGAAGATGCTAGCAAGTAGCTAAGAAACAAAATGGATTTAAGGAACAAGAATGGTCCTCATGTAAACTTATCTTAGCTCAGAGGGACTCACAAGCAGAATTCAGGAATTCCTGACTGACACCCAGAGTGACTCTATAGTCACCCTACGCTGTCTCCTCTAAGCAGAGGAAACAATTGCCTTTTACAAAACAACATCCAAAAGGCAGCAAATACAAAAGCCAAGTTGGATCACAGTTGAAGACAAGAATGCTAAAAAAAGAAGTTGAGCATGGGATAAAAAACCCATGATGGTAATACTGCCCACAAAGTCAGAGAGAGTGAGAAAGGAACAGTTTGAATCTTTCTCAACACTACCAGTGTTGATGTTTCAAAGCAGTCTTCTACCCTGAACTGGAACATGATCATAAATTTTCACCTGACTAAACAGTCACTTTAATCTTGCTCATGAAGAAATTGGTCAGATAGTGATCAGAAAATGTATTTCAGCTTCCAAAGTCTGAGTTCAGTGCATAGCTGTCAATCATTTGTAATTTCCACTGATTTATTAAGCCATACTGCTGAGGTATCACTAGCCTGGGAATTCAAACTGTGACATCATTTTTCCTTTGGTGATGGAAGTACTGAGATCTACCCCATCTGTGATCACCATAAGCCAGGGTTAAAAAGGGAGCAGGTAGCAAAGGGAATGCTGAAGGCATTTCCTACAGATGCCTGTCTAACCTGTTTTGAAATTAGGAGCACTCATGGCATCTGCACCAAGTCCTTGAGGAATTTTTTCCCCACACAATGCCATCCTGAATGATTACATATTTTGCCCTAATGCCTGCACCTCATCTCTGATGTTGCATTTTCAACTCAACATTTTCTTTACTACCCTTCAGGTTACGCCCCATCTCTTTGCAAGTCCTTTATGTATTTCACAGCTGTTACTGTGCTGACAGTTTTCTCTTCCCCATCATTTTTTTCAAATCTTTCTTCCCCTTTTAAAGGTATTTTTCAGACCCATTTGTTCACTTTCTGGGTGGACAGCAAAAACGACAGGCACAAAACTCAAGTGAGAGTGCAAACAACTGCTCTCTCAGAAGGGTTAAGCACTGAACGAGACCAACCTCCTACACTGACACTGGCTGTGCCACGCAGAAAATCCCAACTCCACAAACCATCCACAACAGCTAAGCGGCCTGCATGGACTTTGTCATTTTAGTGTGCATTTACTCTTTATTTGTTGTTTGTTTTGTAGATTTAATGGGCTTCCTATTCAAAGATAAGGCTAATATAACCTCTGTCTTCTTCTAGCTTCTTTAACTGTTAATTTTGTGAAGATGTGGACTGAGTAAGAGAATAGCCGTAACGCATTTTGTCTTGTTAGCTGTTGCCCTTTACTCTTTATTTTTAAATGGGAAGGGACCTTTCAATGTTTTATGACATAAGAATACAACTAGATCTAGTACATATGCGTAAAAAAATTGGAAATGTTCCAAACTGCAATTGTTTATATTCTTAATTCACTTTTGTATGTTTTCTTGTAAAACATTTTTGAACTTGTGCACACTCTTTATTTTGAAAAAGAACACAGCTTCAGTTAGCTTTTCACAGCATTTGGCTATAGCTGCTAACCTTTCAGAGCAGAGCTATGCTCTAAAACTCATTTTTTGTAAAGAGAGCAAGAGAAATCACAAGAAAAGATTGGCTCATAACAGTCCAATTAAGCAGAAGTGCCAATGACTGCAAACATGACTTTCAAGTTACTTTCAAGTAACTTGACTGGGCTAACAGTGAGATGTTCAGATAAGCTTACAGCACTGACTGAGACCAAAATCTTAATTGGAATGTATAATTAAATGGGCAGCTTTCTCTCTAGATTTCTTATTTGGGAATTCATAAGTGTTGACTATGTATTAATGTAATTGGTTGGTTGTAGTCTAATGCTATTTGTTAATTCTGATTTGGGGATTTGCTCTAATTAGATAGTACTTTGACAGCACTGTTTAATTCTAGTTTGATTGAGTTTATAATGGCTTTAATCTCAGTAATACAAGTCACTTTTTATATTTAATAAAAATATTAAAACATTATTTCAAACAATAAAAACCACATATTAGAAAGAAAATTGGACTTGTATGTTTTTCATTAGACATGCTGAGTATTACAAGCTATGTTAAAGCACTAGAAATTAACTTGATCGGACAACACTGCAGACAGCAGTACGCGTCTGTGTGGGTCAAAATAAGCAGGACACAGGAACAACCACAAACCACAGGTGAAATGCAAAGGGTAGATTTATTCTGGCTACCTGAGAATCTGAGGAATCTTTGCAGCAGCACTCAGATGAGGTGCACAGGCAGCGAGTGCACGAGCAGCTTGACAAGGCAGCACAGGCACAAGGAGATCTCTCCTTGCTAGAAAGCGTGGGGTATTTATCCCACTGCTTTGCTGTGTTTTACTTGCTGCTCTGCCTGAGTTCCCAGGACTCACATGACAGCTTTGCAGGGCAGGAATGTGAGAGATGCCCCCGCGTCTCTCCCAGGCCTCTGTTATCTAAGCACGGGTGTGCTGCTTGTCGAGCACACAAGGCCAAGCAGTGATCCAATGTGATGTGTGTGTTTTCCCACACCTCAGGTGTCAAGCCACTCGACCGTACCTACAATCCTCCTCGCCAATCTTCCGTTATAACCCTTCGGTCTCATAAAGCTCAAGAAATTAAAGAAAAAGCCTTGAAAGATAAAATAAAAAGAGGTAGTGGTAATTAAAGACATAAGGAGAAGTATACTATGTTGGCACCTTTGGCTAAGAAAAAGCAGAAGGTGGCTGACAAACTCAGGATGCAGTAAATATTCTTCCTCTCCATGCTTTAAGGTTTTTCAGTCCTTAAAATGAGACTTCTGAGTCCTCTACTTTTCTTTTTTCTCCTCTAGCTCAGTAAACTCTTTACCACTTCATCATAACCTTGCTGCCATACAGTTTTGAAGAAGGAAGGATTAAAGGTGAACAATGAACAAGTATCTTGGGGAGAAGGGGGAGAGGAGTAGGGTTGAAGGGAAGAGCTGCTTTCTGCTCTAGCAGCTGGCATAAGAAATCATTTCACTGACTTTATAAATTACTATTTGAGCAGACATAAAACCTAACTCTGAAATAAATACTCTGGAATAAGTAACTAAATACTCTGGAATAAATCATCCAGAGAAGTTGTGGATGCCCCCTCCCTGGAGGTGTTCAAGGCCAAGCTGGATGGAGCCTTGAGTAGCCTGATCTAGTTGAGAGGCGTCCCTGCCCATGACAGGGAGGTTGGACTAGTTGATCTCTAAGGTCCCTTCCAGCCTAGGCCATTCCATGATTCTACGATTCTAACTTGGAGGAACTCATACAAAAGGCTTCACTCACAAGACCCCTTGGCACTGAACTCCAAAGGAGAAAGGAGTCCACGCTTCAACAACCATATAGCCAAGCCAGGTGCTAATAGGGGTCCTCCCACACCACCTTAAAGAGGAACAGCAATCCACTGCTTCAACTGACAGGGTATATCCACACCGATGCTCTAAACTAGGACTTGGGTTTGCTGTGCAGAAAAGACAGGGCTAAACAAGTTTAATTCCCTGCATTTTTCTTTAATAATTTCTTTGAGCCATTTCACATCCCCTGTTTCCAACACAGTCCTGTGTTCAAGACCTGTATGTAGAGCCCAGCTAATTTTCAGGGAGAATGCTGCTTTGAAATGAAATGAGGTTTTGCAGCTACTGTGCAGTCCTGCAAACAGGTATTTACATGGTTAGCTTCTGTGTGACATTAGCACATGCAAAACTACAGGGCTATTCTTGCAAGCAGAGAGGAGCACATGCTATGAAGATATGGGCCTTCTGGCACTCTTATACCACAGTGACAAAAACAATTTTGAGAGAAAAACATCTAGAGCTCCATGCCAGATGGTTTCCTGAGCTAGATTTGTTAAATGTCAGCGTGGACAGTTTACCCTATCCTGCAGGTGTGCACAGTACACATAGTTTTATTTTCTCTGAGAAAATAAACAAGAAAAATTAAGTCAATTGGACTAGATGATCTTCTGAGGTCCCTCCCAACCCCTAACATTCTGTGATTCTGTGACTCAGCACACCTCAGAAGAGGATGAGCTTCTCAGACTGAACCCCAGCAAGACATAGACAGATTTAAAAGAATTTCAATGATGCCTATCTGTTACAAGACAGAGCTGCAGAAGTTTAACCATATTTAGTGGGGAATGACTGCTCTATGAAGCACACTGGTATCAAGAAGGAAAGGTGGGCTGTAATGCTGTAATGGTCTTTATGAAGTTAAAAAGGGGAAGTCTAGTAAGGTAGAGCAAAGCTTCAAGTCACCAGTGCCCGGGGAACCACTTCACCAAGGAAGTGATGACAAGCCCACTCTGACCTATATTCTGGTAAAAATTCCAGCTCTTCTGGCAATGGGATACTGCTGCAATACCACTCGTGGGGTCAAGCAGGACACAGAGCTGCAGCAAGGGATGGGGACTAACAAGCAGAGAGACACGAGCTGACAAAAGCAGCAGATGGTCCAGTCAGGTGTATAGAACAGCTGCCTGGATGGGAAGCTCTGCTGCGTGAGCCTATGCTGACCCAGCCCTCTTCCAGCCCGGATGGATGCGAAAGGCACAGTGGCACAGAGCTGCTGGCTCTCTCTGGGCTGCAGGCCTCATGCAGCAGGACTTTCTCAGCAGTAAATTTTTTAAAAAAAAGTAATTCTGTTAATTTTCTGCACTTTCTGTTCTCTCTCAAACATACAAGCTAAGGCTGTACAGCCTGACGCGCGTGTGGGAGAGCTGATGGAGGATGAGTAGCAGGCAGTTAGCTCTACCAGCAGTCACACACCAGCTAGTGTTGAGACTGGTGTATTACGTTCATCCCCTCTTCTCCCCTTTGTGGTTGCATCTGCCTGTTACACAAACCATTCAAGAGCCCTCAGCATAGCTCACTAAAGGTACCCGCAAGGAGTCCGCAGTTGTGACTTACCCCTTGTTATTTAAAGTATGGCTTTCCACCAGAAAGCCTTGACAGTGTGGCAGAAAATAAATCTCTCACCTGAGTGGTATTAAACCTCCCCAAACAGAGATGGGTCCAGCTGTGCTTCTGACAGCCCTCCTAGGAAAGTGACATCTCTGTTAACATACTCAGTGGCACTACTGTGTGCTCTTTGCTAGGAGGAGCAGGGGTTGCGACATGTCCACTAGCACTTTACTGGGCTCCATCTATCTCGATAAACACCCACAAACTCGTAATATTGTGATTTGACACGAGTCAAAATTCACCTATGTACTCAAATCAGAGACAGACCCAGACAACATGACCTAATCATGTCAAAATCTGCTTTCGCTGTACTTACTTCATTCAAATCACAGATGCAGAAACACACACACGCTTTTCAAGACGACAAAACATGAATCCAGTATGACCTCTGCTGACAGCAACCCTTCCAAGTGCCTCCTCTCCAGCTATAAGAATATTCAGTCTCCTTCCTCTGGGAAAATTAACTCCATAAAACCCCAAAGCACATGACAGACTTGTGACTCACCATCAAGTACAGACTAACCAGAGAAAGGAGCTGAGATTTTCATTTAGTCTTTGATACACTACATCAGTGTATATTTGGATTGAAGATGCTGGGATTCTCAGCTTGGATGCTGCAGAATATGGGGCAGTGAAGTCAAAGAGTTTAGAGCCACACTGCCTTGGAACTCACGTTCTGTAGGCAGCACAAAACGGCAAGGCTGTACGCCAAGGCCATATCCACGCTGTACTTTGCTGGTCCACACTTTGCTTTCAGTGTCACTACAGGATACACTTAAGAGTAGGCCAAGACCCCAGCTTCTTCTCCCCTTTTTAACTCAAAGAAAACGCAGTTCCCCACCTATATATGTCTATATCTATCTATATTTATCTCCACTGTCTTTCCTATGATGATTTTTACGTGGGCTGTGTAAGTCTGCTAAGTTCTTCGTGCTTTTGCTTCAGTCTTGGGAGGAACTAGTCAAACTGGCCCTACTCCAGCAAATGCAGAGACACATCTTTAATGTTTAGACACGATGACATTATTCACATGCTTAACTTCCAAGGATATGCCTCTGTGTTGTGCTGGAATGAGGCCAGGGTACTCAACACTTGCCAGGCTTGGATCTTTGATTACAGTGCAAACTTTACATCAAAATAGGCTGGTTTCTTTTAATCAAGTAGAGGTTTTGACATTTTGTTTAGCCACATTTTATATCTGATGATTGTAAGATACTTATATTTTTTTTGTCTATCATATGTTAAACACTTTATTTTCCCACTAAGGAAATAAGGAACCAGAGCAACAGAAGACCAGAGAGCTGAGTATCCTCTGCCTGGAAGCATTTCCCCCAGATTGAATTCAGAGAGAAGGCATCCCAAAACCTTAACTAAGTAATGCACCAGTACCTGTGTCCGGAACAATAAGCTTCTCCTTTCTGTGCTTATATTTGCTGACAATTTTGTGGAATGAGTTCTTTTTCTGAGACTGGAATGAACCTACAGACAACATTAATAATACATACTTTTAATTGGCAGTTTTAAAAAGAATGTAACAGTAACAGTATGTACAACACAACTTCCACTAATACAGGACATCATTCCCTGGGGAAGGACAAAATCCTGACCGTGTGCCAGAATGGATTCTGGAGGCTTTCAGTAGGCTGTACTTCAATCCATCAGCTCCCAATGTTTTAGTGCCTACAAAGGATTTTGGGGAATGATGACTTTACAAAACCTTAGCCATATAATAAAATAAGGGCTTTGCTTGCTCTCTTTTGCATGTGTACTGCGTTTGGCTGGAATGGAGCAAACCTTCCTCATCACAGTCGGACAGTACTGTGTAGTTCTAGACTGGAGATCAAACCAGTGTTGGCAACACACTGATGTTTTAGTTACTGCCGTACAGTGTTTACTGTTTACTCCTTCTCACTCTGACCACCCCAGAGTGTGTGCTGAGGGCACGCAAGAGCCTGGGAGGGGACACAGTTGAGCAGCTGATGCACACTGACCAAGAGGTATTTCACATCATACAATACCAGGCTCAGCAATAAAACTGGGGGTAGAGTTTTTTCCAAATTTGTTGCAGTGAGTGCTGGCTTCTGCATCACTTATTTTCCTCTCTCCCCACTTCACTTACAAAACTGTCTCTATCTTGACTGCTGCATTTCTTTTCTTGCTTTTGCCCTTCCAATTCTCTCCCTGATGTCACTGGCAGACAGTGAGTGAGCAGTACGGTGAGGATTTACCTACCAGCTAAGGCCAACCCATCACAGGATGCAAAAGTCAAATCTGTCTTTCTGGTGACCAGAAAGGAGTTTATACTAAGTGTAGAAGTAAAAGCTCCCAGGAGAAGAAGGTGAGGTTGCAGCCAACTCATGGTATCTTTCCTACTTTGATAGCCAAATCTGCACTAGCAGTAGTCAGAAGACATCTTATGTGACATCAGATCACAATGCACGCCACTAGCAGAGGTCATCACGAAGCTATCCTTTGTCTCACAAAGTAAATAGTGATACAACAGCAATGTAGATATAGCGGATGCATAACCTCTGCACTGCAAAGCCATTTTTATCGAGTTACTTCTCATCAATCACATTTGAAAATCTTATTTCCAAAGATACAGCAGGCAAGCAAGTCTTCAGGTCAGCTCAGAACAGAGCAGCCCCAACAGAGATGAGATGCACTGCAGGTGACAAGACGCTTACGGCCTAACAAGAGGGTGTCCTTTCCACATGCAGCTGACTTGGAACAGGATTCTACCCACCACAAATACCAGCCTTCTCCACTTCTCCTCATCCTTAAAAGGAACCATAAACACACACTGGCTACTGAGACACAACTGCAACCACGCAGCAATGCAATCAAGGTACACCACACGTTGGCAATCTGCCATAACTGACTCTCTACGCATGGAGAGGAGGAGAAAAGTGTGTAGCACATGGAAGAAGGAAGGGGAAAAACCATTCACAGATACAGTTCAAATCATATTGATAATTACTGAAAGCTAAAATCCAGACAGAAATAGGCATGGATCTTGTACATGTTGGCTTTGTGGCTCACTGCTGCTTGTTTTTTACTACTGAATAAATCAAAACTTTGGGGATAGACTAACAATCTCCCCAAAATCTAGAAGTCAAAACAACAAACCAAATAAAGTCCAAGTGAGACAGCATCTCAGGCAACACCAGCTTGAATCTGAATAGCTTCACTGGAACTTGTATAGGAAATACCAGAAAGTTCAACAGAAGAGGCCACATGCACTCAAACTGATTCAAGTGTCGTTCAGTAAATTTTACAATAGCTTCCTGAGTACCACAAAACTGGATAAGCAGTCTAGTCTCAGTGAAATAAAAGTACAAAACAAGGAACAAAAAAGCTCAGGTAGGTTCAGGGAAAAAACTGAAAAAGCTGAGCTTTTCTGAAGACTAAGGTCAGACACTTCATCCATACCAGAGACAAGTTTTTCCACAACAGTTCCACAAGATGTCAGAGGTACTCAATCAGATGGGTTTTTATGACATTTTTATTATTATGTTTTTAAAATTAGCAAATTAGTAATTTTTGCAGGTGCTTGGAATAAGCAACACATTACACCATAACGCGGAAGCCTCCACTTCTACAGCTCAACCTGCACTCCATAGACCATTTCAATCAGTATCACAGGCTGCCACCCAGTGCCAGCAACTCTACGCAGAATAACTGAGCTGAAAACCCCATAAAACGATGGCAAACACTACATGAAGAAGGAAATCCATGTCCTTCATCTCTTTTCTTTTCTACCACCCAAGGTATGTTTTTCACAAGCTTTTATCTGTGACATGTAGAGTACTCCAAGGCACATGCCACTTGCACGCAGAATTTTGTTCTCAAATGGTAAAATCCAAAGACACGGCCTTCAGGGAGGTCAACAGAGAAGCTGCATTTTCATAAGGAAACTTTCCATTTCCTTCTGTTCTAGCTGTTACTTCTGTTAGACAGTGCCCACTAACACTTGAATACCCTTTGGCCATGAACTCAGTGAAAAAGATGGGCTAATAGCTAAACAGGTCTTGGACTGAGAATGTAATGTCTGACTCCGTGAGAAACTTCATCTACACTCTTTGCGTGAACTACTTAGAGTGAACTAGAGGATAAGCTCACTGTCCTCTGTGAAAAGCCAGATTACCATCACTCTCACACCCACATATACAAATTGCCCAGTAATTACAGAATAGACTATTTGGTGATTCTTGGAAAACAGGCACATCCCACCCTGCCTTCAGACTCAAGGCCTAAGTAGATGAACTGCCAAACACAGCATCCCTGCATGGCACCTTCAGGTACGCAGACCACGGCTTTGCTTTTAACAGAAATTTGCTGAACTAAAGCGATATGGAGAAAGCAAAATACATTCTGGACCTGAGAGGACACCTGAATGTAGGAAAGGCTGAAGAAGGGTGCATTCCTGAGATCACGTGCTGGTTTGGGCTGGGAATGAGTGAATATCACTCCTCCAGGCTCTCACCATCAGGTGTCCCAGGGACACAGTTTAGGCACATGGGGAGAGCAGGCAAGTACTTGGAGACTTTGAACAAACGTCACTTGTCAATGTTAAAGCCAGAGAAAATCCATGACTGAAAAAAGTAACCTAAAGGGCCTTCTCATAGGCAGTGAGCCCTGGACACTGGCAACTTTACTGTGAGAAAAAGAGGGGAAACAGATTTGTCACTATCTCTCAGGAGGATGCTGTATATTTAGGTCGTGATCTTTGGAACATTATGGTATGCGAACCCCAGGCATCTGATAGCTTTGATCTGAGCCAAAAAAACCCAACCCCAAGCTAAGACCAAGAGGAATGCCACAGTGAAGCATCCGTTTTAAGCTGACGACTTACTTCTAGTCCTAGAGGGCATAGACAAAAAAACGTAGACAAACTCTTTC